AGCAAAAACCTTTCCCCCCCCAAAAAAAAAAAAAAAGGAAAGAAAAGAAAGTATGCACAGGTCTTCTTTTCTTCTTTTCTTTTTTTTTGCTACAGGATCAGGGGGAGAGAGAGAGAGGGAAAGTGAAAGGGAAGGCACCCCCAGGGGAGATGGCCACACTGCAGTTCCTTCTCCATGTCCCTTTCTAGGTTTTTGGCATGCACACATGTACCCAGTGTGTTTTTCAAGCCGCTGGGTCCAGGACTCAAACCTTACAGTCGGCCATGTGGGATTCAGCGACCTTAACCACTGTGTCACCCACTGGCCCACAGGTCCTTTTTATATGCCTCAGAAGGACTGAGGACAGACGGATCAGGATCTTCCTGAAGAGGTGGGGGCTGGGGATGATAGGGCCAGAGTGGCTCATGACCTCTTCTATTGGGTTGGAAAGTCATGATGCATTTTTGCATAGAAAAATAATGTCACAACTTTCCTAATGACCTAATGGAAGAATAAAGCCCCAAGGTCAGAAGGTGGATAGTCGGCCATGTGGGAGTCCAGAGCCTTAACCATCATACCACCAGCTGGCCCCAAACTCTACTTTTAAAACATTGCCTAAAGCAATGTTTTTTAAACCATGGGCCACAAAATCAACTGAGTGAATTGCCACCCGTATTTTTTTTTGGAGAGGTTTTTTGCTATAGGGCACGTGCGCTCGCCAGACAGAGAAAAAGAGACAGAAAGCGAGAAATCACCCCCCAGGGGGGATGGACATGTTGCATTCCCTTCTCCACCATTCTCCTCTCGGGATCTTGGGAACACATGCACACGCACCTGGCATGAGTTTTAAGCCACCGGGTCTGGGCCGTGAACTGCGGTCGACTACGTGGGAGTCCAGCGACATAGCCATTACGCCAACTGCTGGTTTCCCAAATAAAATCATTATTAAAAAAAAAGAAAAGGAATACAGTCCCACTGTCCTCCTAGAGGTGGGGACGATGGTCTCCATCATGTCCCTGCTCCTCATAGTTTATACTTAGACTTTACAGATGAGGAAACTGAGATTGGGGAAGTTAAATGACTTGTCCCAGGTCGCAGGGTCAGAGGATGGCAGGGGATCTGGAGTTTAAACCCGGTCCTGTTGAGGTTAAAACCCCAGCTTTAATTGCTACCTTAGCCCACGAGCTTTCTTTTATAAGTTTATTTAGTTCTCCCGAGAGAGAGAGAGAGAGAGAGAGAAAGAGATCTCTGCCCCAACACACACCGGGGTCTCCACAGGGCCGTCCACCCCCGGTCCGGATCCTGGGCACATGTGCCTGCACCCAGCATGCTCTGGGCAGTCCTGCGAGCGCTGCACTGGCCGCTAGCCCCTTGTCACGTACTCAGGGATGTCAGGGTCACCTGGCAGGGCTGGGGACGGGCAGTAAGGGGAGAAGGGAGGGTGACAGGTGTAAGGGCTTTAATCCTCTCTCCAAGCAAGGGTGCAGGGGGTGGGACGGGGTGGGGCAGGGTGGGCGTCAGGCCCACTCCCACGGGGATCCCCCTACAGGGAATGTTGAGAGGTCATTTTACCCACCCCTGCGTCTCCAACTGGACTAGCTTCTCACCCATCAGAGCCCAAGGAGAATCTCTCTGCATGGAACATTCCTGGCGGAAGGGGTTTCTTTATGTTTAGACTCCAGTTGAAAGGCCACGGGCTTGAGTTTTGACTCCAAACAAACCCGAGATGGGAGATATAAACATGGTTGCCGTGTAAGGCAAGTCCTGGAGTGTTTCGGCACGTACTGGGCTGGGAGCCGGGCCACCCCCTTGGCCATCTTGCTGCCCTCGGGCACCAGCAGAGACAGACGTGGAATCCTAGGTACTGTTTGTGCGAGAAGTCAGGCAGCGAGAGCCCAGAGGACGCAGGCCACAGCTGGGTTGAGTGATGCCTCTCCTTTTTCTGCTGAGTTTTAGGATCTGGATGATTTGGGGAGAGGGCAGGGCTGGAAAAGTGGTGCAGGGATAAGTGCCTTTATTTATTTATTTATTTAATATTTTTAGAGGTTTTTGCTATAGGGCACGTGCATTTGCCAGAAAGACAGAGAGGCAGAAAGCGAGAAATCACCCCCCCAATGGGGGATGGCCACGCCGCAATCCCTTCTCCATTCACCTCTCGGGATCTTGGGCACACGCACACTCCCGGTGTGAGTTTAAGCCACCAGATCCGGGACTCAAACCGTAGTCCACTACATGAGAGTCCAGCGACATAGCCATTACGCCAACTGCTGGTCCTGGGATAAGTGCCTTTAGTGAGGCCAGTGGGCCTCCAGACCCTCACTGTCCTTAGCCCCTGGGGTTGGCAGCTGGGCCACAGATCTCCAGTTCCAGCACACACCCAACCCTCACACCACACGCCCAACCCTCAGCCAGGGCCTTGCTGGCTCATTTCCTCCCTGCCCTAAAAATACCTCTCTCAGGGACCAGCAGGTGGCATGGTGGTTAAGGTGCTGGACGCTCCCACATGGTTGACCATGGTTCAAGTCCCAGACCTGGTGGCTTGCTTTTTTATTTTTTCTCTCTCTCTTTCTTTGGTCAAATGAAAATAAATGAATGCATAAATAAAGTTAAATAAAATAATTGTTTTTTAAAAAGTGCTTCTCTCAAAGTTACTAGTCACACTTTAAAGTTCAGTAATAACTTTCCAGCTTGTCGGTAACTCCAGATTAAACAAAAAAGATGACCGTGCCTTTTTTTTTCTTTATGATCGTCCTCTTTTTGTAAGAGATTTGAGGTCATTTACGACAAAAATTAGTAAAGAAAAGAAAAGCAGCAAAACAACACAAATCATAAACCTTGCACTGGCCTGTATTTGTTACGGTTGAGATGCCTGTGGTACTGAGCTTCCAGGCAGCCAAGAAAAAAGGGAAATATGCACAGTCATGTTGTTCTCATCAGAACCAAGGAAGCCTCCCTCAGATATATAACTCTTTGATTCTTCAATGTCTGTCTTCTGTCTTGTGTGACAACAGGGACTTTGGCTGCCCGGATACGTGTCCAGGACTGGTTCACCAGGAGCTTAGCACCTCTGTCCCACGACTGTGGGAAAGCAGACTCCTCAGGGGCAGTTTCATTTCCTCGCACTGCGCTCTACGACAAACATCTCATGGGGAGCTATGGAAGTGGGGATGGCGGTGGAGGAGAGGTAGATGGTGGCGCAGCTGAAAAACCCAGCACTCTTCCAGGCTGGCCCACAAAGGAAGGTCCCTAGTTCAAGTAGGGGGAAGTTGGAAAAGGGAAAAATGGAAGTAGAGGGGCTGGCCCCATGCCTAGTGGTTAAGGGAGCTGGATACCATATGGCTGACTGTGAGGTTTAAATCCCAGCCCTGATAGCTTGAAAAATTAAGCTACTGGCCAGCAGGTGTTGTGGTGTTTAAGGCCCTGGGCTCCCACATGGCTGGCCGTGGTTTGAGTCCTGGATCTGGGGGCTTGCTTTCTCACTTTTCCTCTCTCTCTGTCTCTCTTTGGTGAGCACATGTGCCCTGTAATAATGATAAATAAGGGACCAGTAGGTAGCATAATGGTTATGTCGATGGACTCCCACATGGCTGACCGTGGTTCTAGTCCCAGACCTGGAGGCTTGAAACACACTGGACACGGGCACTTGCATGCCCAAGATCCCGAGAGGATGGAGGAGAAGGGATTGCGGTGTGGCCATCCCCCCTGGGGGGTGATTTCTCGCTTTCTATCTCTCTGGTGAGTGCACGTGCCCTATAGCAAAAATCTCTCTAAAAACAACGTAATAATAATAATGATAAATAAAACTAAATAATTCTATAAAAGGAAAGAAAGAGTAAGCCAAGGGCATGTGCATCGCACCCCAAGTCCCGGCAGGATGGAGAAGTGGAGGAAAAGGAATTGCAGCGTGAGCATGCCCCGGAGGTGCTTTCTCACACTCTCTCTGTCTCTCTGGCAATAGCACCCAGACTCCAGCAACTTAAAATAGAAAAGTGGAATTAAAGTACAGGTTCATTTTGTTGCAAAAAATTTTGAAGCCTATGCATAGATTTTTGGTAGTACACATTCTTCATGAACTTTTCGAAGACTACACAGACCCAAGACAGAGAAAATAGGAGCGGGCAGACTGACTCGGCCTTAGATAAGGTTGTTTTAAACCCTGTTTACAGGAGAGGGGCTGGGGAGGAGAGGGCTGCGGACGAACTAATACTAAAGCACATGATGGTATTTGTTTTTATCAGGTTTTGTTTTGTTTTGTTTTGTTTTGTTTTTTTGAGAGAGATTTTTGCTATAGAGCACGTGTGCTCACCAGAGAGACAGAGGGAAACAGTGAGACGTCATTCTCTGGGGGATGGCCATGCCACAATCCCTTCTCCTCCGTTCTCCTCTCCGGATTTTGTGCACACATGCACACATACCTGGAGTGAATTTCAAGCCACTGGGTCTGGGACTTGAACCGTGGTCAGCCATGTGGGAAGTCTAGCACCTCAACCACCATGCCACCTGCTGGCCCCCTCTTTATCAGATTTTTAATATTCCTGTATATTGCATCTATTTATTTATTTTAACATATACTCAGCAGAGAGAGACAGAGAGCGAGAGGGAACGTGAGAAAGCAAGCCGCCAGATGCAGGACTTGTGGTCAGCCATGTGGCTCCAATGCCTCAACCACCATGCCACCTGCTGGCCCTGGCTGTGTGTTGCTTTTATTTGCTTCCCTTTTTATGCAGTGATACAGAATAGAAAGTAAACAGAAAAGGCCCCCAATTTTTCTGCCCATAAATCCCAATGTTTAGGGAGCAGCAGTTGACATAATGGCTATGTCGCTGGACTCCCATGTGTCGACTGCAGTTCGAGTCCTGGACCTGTTGGTTTAAACTCAGGCCGGACATGTGTGCATACGTGCCCTCCCAGGATCCTGAGAGGAGAATGGAGGAGAAGGGATTGTGGCGTGGCCATCCCCGCTGCAGGGTGATTTTTCGCTTTCTATCTCTCTGTCTCTCTCTGCCTTTCTGGCGAGCGCTCGCGCCCAATAGCAAAAACATCTCCAAAAAAAAAAAAGAAGTCCCAATGTTTAAAATTCGGGTAATTAATTAACCTATGAAGTTAAAATAGTCAAGGTATAGGGGCCGGCAAGTGGTGTGGTGGTTAAAGTTGCTGGATTCCCATATGGTTGATTATGGTTCAAGTCCTAGACCTGGCAGCTTGCTCTCTCACTTTCCCTCTCTCTCTCTCTCACTCTGTCTCTCTCTGGTCAAATTTTAAAAATAAATAAAGTTTAAAAAAATAATTATTTAAAAAAAAATACTCAACTATAGAAAGAAACAAGCTAAAAACCAAAATGCTCCTTCCCAGGGTCACACAAACCTTGGAGTAGTCATTGACGTTGAAGTTGTGCAAGGTGGCAACTCTGTCCCCTCCCTATAATTCCTTTTCCTTCTTAACAGGTTGAAACTATCTATTTTGCTTTCGGGCATGTGTGCTCGCCAGAAAGACAGAGAGAGACAGAGAGACAGAAAGTGAGAAATCACCCCCCAGGGGAGATGGCCATACCACAATCCCTTCTCCTCCATTCTCCTCTTGGGATCTAGGGCATGCATGCACACGTGCCCGGTATGAGTTTAAGTCACCGAGTCCAGGATGTGAACCACAGTCAACTACACGGGAGTCCAGTGACATAGCCATTATGCCAACTGCTGGTCCCATATTTAATTATTTTTTTAAAAATGAAAATTTCTGGGGGCTAGCTGGTGGCATAGTGGTTAAGGCACTGGACTTTTACATGACTGACTGAGGTTCAAGTCCTGGACCCAGCAGCCTGAAATTCATGCCAGGCACATGTGTGTGTACCCAGAATTCCAGGAGAATAACGGAGAAGGGACTGTGGTGTGGCCACCCCTGGGGGTGATTTCCCACTTTCCCTCTCACTGTCTCACTGTCTCTGTGTGTCTCTCCAATGAGCACATGCTCCTATGGCAAAATCCTAAAAAACTAAAAAAAGAAAGAAAGAAAAGCCTCAAAATGGAGCAGTATAGATTGTGACGTACGTCTGAGGTATGAGACTGGAGGTCAGACATCAAGAAGGACTTTCAGAAGAAAGGGAAAGGTGAGGAGAGGCAGCGAATCTGGGGCAGAGGGGCAGAGATGCCGCAGGGAGAGCACAGGTGGGACTCGGCTGTCAGAGACCCGGTGAGAGACCTGGAGAAGGGCAGGTGGGGAGTGAGCGTGAGTGCCGCGGGAGGCCCGGTGCCCTTGCCCAGGGTTGAGAGGGCGGTGTGGTCTGGGTCCTGCTGCTCCAGGCCGGCCACCTCCATGCAGGCGGCTCAGGGCTGGGAGGCCTCGCCATGCCTGGGGAGTTTTATAGGCTCGGCTCTGCCTCTGGGCAGCCCTGGCTGGTGAGGACTGGGGGCCGTGGCAGGGCAGCTGACGGTTCATGGGTCATGGCCAGAGCAGCCCTGAGCACCCCCACGTGCCCTCCCCTACAGGCTTCCAGGACGTGCACGCCATGGTCTTCGTGGGCTTCGGCTTCCTCATGGCCTTCCTGCAGCGCTACGGCTTCAGCAGCGTGGGGTTCACGTTCCTCCTGGCCGCCTTCGCCCTGCAGTGGTCCACGCTGGTCCAGGGCTTCTTCCACTCCTTCCACGGTGGCCACATCTATGTTGGCGTGGAGAGGTGGGCAGCACCAGCCTCCCGGCTCTCTCAGGTCACCTGGGCAGCCCCTGCCCAAGGAACCCAGCTCACGCCTGTCCTCCCAGCTGGCTTCCCGACCCCTGACCCTGACTCTCCGATGGGTTTCTCCAGGTGCCCTGCCCTTCCTCCTCCCTGATCTCCTCCCCGCCCTCGGCCCACACTCTCAGACCACCCTGTTCCTTTAGGCCCGGTCACCAAGAGCTGTGGCGGTCAGTAGCTCAGTGGGAAAGGTCAGGGTTGGCAGGGGCTCTTGGCTTTGTTCCAGCCCCCCGCCCTGTGGGCTTCGTCAGCCAAGCTTCAGAACCTCCCTGAGACTGGGTTTCCTCACCTACAACAGGGGCGAGGTGACCCCTCGCCTCCCCTCGGGGTCCCCTCCCTGGTGCCTGCCCCTCTCCCTGAATCCGCTCCCCACGCTCCCGCCACCCAGCATGATCAACGCCGACTTCTGCGCCGGCGCCGTGCTCATCTCCTTCGGCGCCGTCCTGGGCAAGACCGGGCCGGCCCAGCTGCTCCTCATGGTCCTGCTGGAGGTGGTGCTGTTTGGCACCAACGAGTTTGTGCTCCTCAGTATCCTGGGGGTGAGTCTGGCAGGGAGTGGGGAGGGGCTGGGCTGGGGCAGCGGTCAGGGCCGCTGTCATGGGCATAGGGGCTGCCCCCCACCTCCGCTGCACCCCCTCAGGTGAGAGACGCGGGAGGCTCCATGACGATCCACACGTTTGGGGCCTACTTCGGGCTGGTCCTCTCGCGGGTGCTCTATAGGCCCCGGCTGGAGAAGAGCAAGCACCGCCAGAGCTCCGTCTACCACTCGGACCTCTTTGCCATGATCGGTGAGGCACGCTGCCTGGAGGTGGAGGGTGGGGGTGAGGAGGCTGCCTCTGGGCTGCGCTGTCCCGCCAGGTCTCCCGGTGCTTCCTGCAGTCCTTGGGGTTCTGGCTGGGAACTCCCTTCCCATCTGGATTCTGCTGTGAGAGCCCTGAGATCCGAGCCCCTCATTCCCAACAGCTTTACAACAGTTTCTTAGAACTCAGCCCTGGAGTACCCAAGGGCCCAGACCCATTCCTAGGGTCCCCCCCTTTTTAAAATTTGCAACAAGGTGTGTGTTCTCTGGAGAGTGAGAGACAGAAAGGGAAAGTGAGAAGCACGCCCCCCAGGAGGGATGGCCACGCCACAATCCACTCTCCCATGCGTGCACACGTGCGCCAGGCAAGTTCTTCAAGCTGCTGGTCCAGGGCTCCAACTGCAAAACCAGCCATGTGGGATCCACCCACCTTCATAGCCAGGCCACCAGCTGGCCCCCGAGAGGCCTTCTAAATCTGCCTCAATCCTGCCTCAAACCTCCAGAGCCCCAGCACCCATGCCCTCAGCCTGTCACTCCAGCCCCTGCAGGTCTTGGCCACCCTCCTCTTCCTGGCCCCTTTGCTCCTGGCTCCAGCCAGACCACACTTCTCCCCACTCCTTGCCTGCAGGCTCCGAGCGTCTGGTTCTCTGCAGACAGCTTCTGCCTGCCCCTGGCACTGCTGCCCTCCACCTAAGGACCTTCTTCCCAGGGGATTCCGGAAGCCCCTGCCTAGGAGAGCAGGGAGGAGGGGTTGTCAGGTACCAGGGGAGCAGTAGGGTCTGGCCTGGGAGCCCCCTTACCACCACCTACTTCTGAGCAAGTACCTCCACCGTGGTCTCTGCTCCCTTCTCTGCCTTCACAAACTGTGGTCTATATTTAATTTTCAATGAGTTTCATAGAAGTATTCAATAGGGGCTGGCAGGTGGCATGGTGGTTAAGGTGGCAGGACTCCCACATGGCTGACATCAGTTCGAATCCCGGATCTGGCAGCTTGCTTTCTTACTTTCCTTCTCTCTCTGGGTCTCTCACTGGTCAACTTTAAAAACATTAAAAAAAAATGACAATGAATAAAATTAAAACCAAAAAACAAACAAACAAACAAAAAAACATAGTCGATAGGATCTGGAGTGCCTATTCTTACATCAAAAAGAGAGGCTGGTTTTGCATTTCTTGCCCACTTCTGGTTTGTTGTGCAACAGAGCACATGGAACCCCAGGTCAGCCCAGGCCTCCTTGCCCTTTGAGACCTAGATAAGTTTGGCTTGAAGTTCAAAGGCTTTCCCAAGATTCCCACGCATTCCCAGGAAACTTGTATTCCCAGATCTCCTCTGCCTCCTACCTCTGTTTTTCAGTGTGTCTGTCACCCAGACGGAAACAGGCCCCTCGCTTCCTCTCTCCTTAAACTATAGCTGGAGGGCCTCTAGATGAGTGTAAATCTTTTGTTTTTAGCAATTTTTTAAAGAATTATTTTATTTAATGTTATTTGTTGTCATTATTATTATTATTATTATTATTTTGAAGTTGACCAGAGAGAAACGGAGAGAAAGAACGAAAGTGAGAAAGCAAGCTGCCAGATCCAGGACTTGAACTGTGGTCAGCCACCTTATCTACCATACCACCTGCTGGCTCTAGAGTGTGGTAGATCTTACGCAAGGCTATGGGGTTGCAGGGAGAAGTCACACCTACGGACACTCACACTCGGACACTTGGGACTAGGGGTCAGTCCCTACACCTCCCTCCTGCCGCCCGGCCTCTAGGGCCCTCAGCTTTCTCTGTCACCTTATCCCTTAGCCTCCCCCCTCCCCCCCATGACTGACCTGGGACCTCACTCGAGCAGCCAGGTTATATGGGTTCTCCCGATTCTTACCCCAAAACATGCAGGCCCAGCCCATCTGGTGCTCAGCAAACAGGCCACTCCTGAACACGGCAGGCTCCTCTCTAGAAGGCAGCTGGGGTTATAAAATGAACCGGCTTCCCGGCACGCGCCCGTCTGCTGCATGCCCGCCACGCAGCGGCCTCTGCCTTTCCTCTTCTTCGCTCCTTTGTTTTTGTGACTTGTGACCTCCATGCCATCGTTGTACACACTCGTGGGGTACGGTATGGATTTTGAAAGCGCACATGCACGTGGAATTCACAAACCAAGGACAGACACGCTCTGAGACACCCTGACATTAGGTCTGCAGATCCCACGAGTGCCACGGCGTGTTTTACTGGGGGCAGTAGTGGCGTTTCCTCCGCTGTGGCTGGCCGTCCCATTACCCATGCACTCATTTACGTGCATCCTTGTGCCTGGTAATCATTTTCTCCTGAGTCCTTTCCTTTCCTTGTCTGATGCTTAAAAAATATATATATATATCAAGCCAGCAAGTGACATGGTGGTTAAGGTGGTTGGATCCCACGCGGTCAACAGCTCGGGTTAAGGTGGCTGGATCCCACGCGGTCAACTGCTCGCTTTGAGCCCCAGACCCGACAGCTTGAAAAACACAGCAGGCACGTGTGCGTGCGTGCCCTCAATCCTGAGGGGATTTGCTCATACCTCATTTGCTCATACTTCAGTCCCCCCCACCTCCAGTGAGCACACGCACCCTATAGCAAAACAAAGACAAAACAAAACAAAAACAATGCTCTCGGTTTTCCACGTAGTTCCCTTTTGTGCCCGTGTCCTCCTACAGCCGCGGCTGGGCGAGCACTTAGAACCCGCGAGGCCGCGGACGCTGTGTCTTTAAGCATGGCTGCCTGCACCCTCCCTTTGCAAGGTGGTGTTACCCACCCCGCTTCGCTCACACTGCACCTTCCAGGGAGCCCTTACTCCCTCTCGCTCTGCCTGCCCATGCTTAGGGACCATCTTCCTGTGGATCTTCTGGCCTAGCTTCAACTCTGCACCCACATCACTGGGGGACGGGCAGCACCGGACGGTCCTCAACACGTACTACTCCCTGACTGCCAGCACCCTCGGCACCTTCGCCTTGTCGGCCCTCGTTGGGGGGGACGGGCGCCTCGATATGGTACGGAGGAGAGGCCCTGCGAGAGACAGGATGGCCTCGGTGGGGGTGGCAGGTCTGAGAGCCGTAAGGAAGAGTCCATAGGGGAGCAGTGGGGCGCGGGCAGGAGGCTTGTCTACACTGCTGGCAGTGGGGTCAGAGTGAGGAGCAGGGGTGGGAGAGCAGGAGAGGCAGGGGCTAGGCGGCAGAGGGGCTTCCAGAAGCAGGAGGTGCCAGCGTGGTCTGGGGCTGGACTGAGAGTGGGCGTGTGACTTGTGGGGGCTCCGATGCCTTGCCCTCCCTGTCCCTTAGGTTCACATCCAGAATGCAGCACTGGCCGGAGGGGTCGTGGTGGGGACATCCAGTGAAATGATGCTGACCCCCTTCGGGGCCCTGGCAGCTGGCTTCTTGGCGGGGACTGTCTCCACGCTGGGGTACAAGTTCTTCACGGTACCCATGCCTCTGGGGCCCTGGGTGGGATGTGGACTCTTGAGGCCTTTCCTCCCACGTCTCCCACAGACCAGGCTGGGCGTGGGAGGGAGCGCGAGACCGATGGTCTGCCCTGTCCTCCAGCCTGTCCTTGAGTCCAAGTTCAAAGTTCAAGACACATGTGGAGTCCACAACCTGCATGGGATGCCAGGGGTGCTGGGGGCCCTCCTGGGGGTCCTTGTGGCGGCGCTGGCCACCCATGAAGCCTACGGATCTGGGTGAGTCTCCCCATCCGAAACCACCATCATCCCGCTGGAACGGCCTCCTTCGCTCTCTGTGGCCAAGAAAAAAAGCAGCGTCTGCCTTCCTTCATTTGCTCTGTATTTCCTTACCCATATTCCGGGAGCTGAGGACGCTAGCGTGAACATGGCCAAGACATGGCCCGCCTCCTGGTCCTTGGTCAAGTGTAGCAGAATGTCACTGATTTCTAGAGTGCTGAGTGTTACTAACGGGTCAGAAAGAGGTGACGATCCTTAGGATCTATGTTTGCACACGGGGGCTTGAAGGAGGCGGGGAAAAGTGATGCTCCCACAGTCTTCAGAGGTGCGTGCAGTCTGCGGGCACGTGAGGGTGGGAGGGTGGGGCCTGGCTGGAGCCAAGGTCTAGAGGTGAGACTCAGTCCAGCAGGCTCCCTTGAGGGCCCCGGCTGCTTGGTGTCCCCGGGTCTGCCATGCAATGCCCAGCCCTGGCCCTGTGTTCCGCCCCCGCGTCCCCACTCCCCCACCACAGCCCTCTCCATGGTCTGGTCTCCCTGCAGCCTGGAGAGTGTGTTTCCACTCTTAGCCGGCGGCCAGCGCAGTGCCACGTCCCAGGCCATGTACCAGCTCTTCGGGCTGTGTGTCACACTGATGTTTGCCTCTGTGGGCGGTGGCTTTGGAGGTGAGTGGCCTTGGCTAGGGCAGGGGCTGGCAGGGGCTCGAGGGAGGGGAGACAGAGGAAGGTGTTCTCCGGAGGATGGACTGTGGGACCCTGCGCCCCCAACACGGACTCGTTCACTCACAGATATCACCAGCCCTACCTTGTCCCAGATGAGGAGCACGCTGTGGGCTCAGGGGTAACCTCCCTCAGGTGGGGAGGAGCAAGTGGGTGCTTGCTTCCTCTTGGTACCACAGGGGGCTGGAGAGCCGGCCAGGAGCGGAGTCCCCCTTTTCCCAGTCTGTGGCCCCCCTGTGTTGCCCCCTATGCCCACTAGAGGGCAGCCCAACCTCAGGCTGAGGCCTAGAAGGCGCAGGCAGAGCTACCTGGGCAGGGGCGGTGGAGGATGGAGATTGCCTGGCTCCCCAGGGCCAGAACGCAAAAACAGTCCCACAGAGGCAGACTGTCCACGGGCCCCAGCTTGGGCAGCCCTTCCTGGAGTCTAACCTTAGTTAGTACTTCTTGGCTTTCAAAGTCACTGTCACCCTGAGGTTTTTATTTTTTTAAAGGTTTTTGCCATAGGGTGTATGCATTCGCCGGAGAGAGACAGAGACAGAGAGAGGATGCCCTCTCCAGGGGGGATAGCCATGCTGCATTCCCTTCTCCTCCATTCTCCACCTGGGATTTGGGGCACACGAGCCCCACGTGATTTTCAAGCCATCAGGTCCAGGACTTGAACTGTGGTCAGCCATGTGGAAGTCCAGCGCCTTAACCACCTCGCCACCTGCTGGCCCCCGCCCTGAGATATTAAGTCTCTAACAAGGTTCAGGCCGTTCATTCATTTAATATCTTACTGGTTCAATAAACATTTTCCAAGCCCCTCCTGTGTGGAAGGCCCAGAAAGCTTAGTGACAGAGTCACGATTTGGTCCGTCACCCACTCTGTGCAAGCTCCAGCAAAGTACTTAACTTCTCCAAGCCTTCATATTCACCAGGCGGGGTTGCTGCAATTAGGAAGGCGGTGCTGGTGGCCAGGCACATAGTAGGTACAGCAAACACAGCTGTGGTGTGCCTGTGCCAGGCGCCATGGCCTGCCAGCCCCACTGTGCTCATGGCACTGCAGACGTCTCCCCATGCTGGGCGCCCTGGAGGCAAAGAAGCCTCACATGCCCTCCCGACCTCTCCAGGGCTCCTGCTCAGGCTGCCTTTCCTGGACTCCCCACCAGACTCCCAGTGCTACGAGGACGAGATTTACTGGGAGGTGAGACGCAGCCACAGCCCTCATACCAAGCCCCCCAACCCTGACCCTGCCTTCCCTGCCTCACTGCGGTGGCCCGCCTGCCTCCTTCCTCCCTAGCCTGATCCCTCTCTGGGTACACCCCTGGGCTGTGCCCTCCTTCCTTCCAGGTGCCTGGGGAGCATGAGGACAGAGCCCTGGAGCCCCTGAGAGCACAAGAACCAGACACTCAGGCCTGACCCTTTTAGAAGACCATGACTGGCTACTATCGGTAGTTCTGCTTCTCTGGCTCCTGTCCCTCCTGCTGCAAGAAGGGAGTTGGACTTCAACAGGAGGGTTCAGGGCTGGACCAGGCTATGGGGCAGGGGAGGGAGAGGACCTTACCAGCTGCCCCACCCTACTGCCCTGCGGCTGCTGCGCTGTGTGTGTGGGTGGCAAGGACAAGCGCCTAGGGATTGCTGAGCCCCTGACCCGGTGTCCCACTGTTATGGTGAAACCTGAGCCAGGTGGCTCTCTGGGGCCATAAACACTCCCATTATCAAGGACCCTGCCCCTCTCATTTGTGTCCTGGAAACAAGGGAGCTTCCTCTCACCCTCTAACTTACACCGTTAGAAGCATGGGGCAGGAAAAGACCTTACTGGTGACAAAAGTCCACCACCCTGGGTCCATGGAACACCCTCCAGGACGGCAGGTCCCACAGGGTGGGTGCCCAGCCTGGGCTTGCCTGTCTCCGGGGATGGGGAGTCGTTCTCAGAGTCTGTCTGTCCTAGTCCAGCTCAGGCTGCTGGAGGGGTCCTCCCACCCCGGAATTGCTGCCTCCACAAGGGCCAATGAACAGAGCAGGAAGAGGGCTCCCCCAGGGCCTGGGGGCAGGAGCAGGTGTTTGCCCTCAGAAGCTGGAAGCAGCTGTCACCTAGGTGTCCCGAGTTTGGGAGTGGGGAATAGGAAGGGCTTGTATCCCTGTGTGCTTGGGGTCATGGCAGCTGAGGGAGGCAGCCTCCAGGCCGCCATTGGCCCAAAGCCTAGTGACCAGCAGAGGGCGCTCCAGACCCAGCAGATGAAGATGCTGTCTTCACTCTCCCTGGTCCTCTGTTGCATAGAATGAAGTCCTTCCTACTGCCTACCTTCCTGTCTGGAGTCCTTGCCTGCAGGCCGCCAGCCTTTTTTGAGCTTCCTTTACATGCCAGGCAGGTGCTGGGGCTTCAGATGTACCGACCAGCAGAGAATTTGTCCCTCTAGCAGACCAGAGCCCTCTTCCCAGCACTGAAAGGCTGGGCCCCCTCCACTCTCCGCTGCCCTTCCTCAAGCTTCTGGCAGGAGTTGAGTATGACTAACAGACATCTCTTCAAAACTGGGGCCTAGCCCTGGGCCAGGGCAGAAAATACTCTGCAGGGTACAGGGCTGCATGCCACAGAACCATCCCCATGTTGCTAGGCCCAACTGTTTCCCTCTCAGGAAAGCTATGAATACTCATTTATTCATGGACCAACCTGACCTTCCTCCTCTGCTGGTTCCTTCTTGACCAGAACCAAGTCTCCTTCTGCGGGCCTGAAAGAACGGGCAGCTCCAGTGCAGGCTGGTCATTGATAGGGGAACCACCCAGCTCAGTCAGTCCAGGTGGCTTCCTGGAGAAGGGACAACCGTGCCCTCCGTGCCCTCCTCGGAGGAAGGCAATCGCCCAGCCAGCTTTCAAGAGATCAAAAGCCACGGGTCCCAGGATGTCCTACCAAGAGGTCCCTGAGAAAGGAGGGACGGGGAAGAGGTGGCCCCTGTGTATCCTACGGCCAGATAGCTCCAGCTACATCACTCCCACGAAGCCTGCCGGGTCTGTCCTAGCGATCGGTGACTCTGAGTTCTAGCCCCTGCACGTTGGCCCTGCTGTTTCAGGTCACTCCGCCTAGGGCTGGACTCTCCACACCAGGCCCTTTGGGTCTTCACTCTGCATTTCCTCTGCTCCCCCCACTCTGCGTCCAGTGCCTGGCATGTGCACCCCCCCTCGGACGGCATTTTCACCAGACAGCCGGTATTCGTGGTCTAGGTGTGGGATGATCATCCCCTCGCTGATTTCAGTCAGGGAGCTCAGAAGGCAGGAAAGACAGGTGTCCTCGAGGTCCCTTGATGGACAGGCGCAACCCCTCCTCCCTCTCCCCTGCAGCCCCTGTCTCAGCCCGGGTCCCCCACACAGTGGCTCATCCATTCAGGCTGGGTCAGCAGGTTGACAATGCTCAGGTCAAGGAGCTGGTGGGGACAGAGGCCAAGGGGTCTCCTTCCTCACTCCTTCAGGACAATGAGACCTCTGCCCTCCAGGGACAGCCCCTCTGATCACTGACATTATTAGTCTCAATGCAGGACAATCAGACACTTGGCCGCTCATGAACTCTGTCTGTCCAGCCCTGATGCTTGAGCTCAGGGAACAGTGATGGACGAGGACATGGCTCCTACTCACCTCCCCGGGCCCCCACCGATGGAGTAGACAGGCAGCCCTGGGGTCAGGGTGGAAGCCAGGGAGCCAGAGCCATGGGGGAAGCCCCTCAGGAAGGCAGCCACTTTGGGGCTTGACACAAGTGCTGGAGGGCCACATCTGGATTTCCTTCCTCAGCACATCTGAATAGGAGGCCCACAGTCCCCCAGGGGTTTTGGGGTGCTTCTGTGCTGGTGTGGCCAGGGCCCCCTCTGCCAGCGGCTAGGAGCTGCTCCTCTGACCTCCGGAGGACCTGGCGCTCCGAACTCCGCGCAGCCTGGGAAAGGCGAGATTCCCCCCATTGGGATTCACATCACGGCGCGCGGCGGCCCGGCTCCGGGAGGAATTAGACACGGCGGCGTGGGTGTCCAACGTGCGGGGCGGTGGCCGTCCCGGGACAGACAAACTCGGCAGCCACGTCCCCCCACCTCACCCCGCTATTCCTCTCCCACCGTCGGGCG